CCTGTTTGTGAATTTCATTATGAACTTTTGAACTTGGCAACGAATTTGCGAAGTTCTGAACGAAGTTCGGAATCTTACGATGAAAAGTCAGCTGAAATTGACTGTAAGCCCACCCTTAACCTGCGAACGGGGAACGAGATAGAGTGGTAATCACTGGTGGTAACCGGAGGTAATCGGTGGTTCCAGTTGATCATGGTAGTTACCACTGACCAACTACGATCCTGAGCTCAGAAATGAGCTCAGACGACATTTTCACCCTCCCCTGGTTTTCTGCACAATTCTTGCGAAATATAGTATATATTGTTGTTTTTTTTAATATTTACTGTATTATATGCTCAAACCTTTACTTTCCACACGCCTCCGACGTTATGTTACAACGTCGAAAGAAAAATGGATTTTGCTCCGCTGCTAGATGCGACAATAGCACAATTCACTATTAAAGAATCTCTGGCCGGTAAGGTTTATTTATATATGTGTTCCTTTTGTAGCTGTTGCTTCAGACATCACATTTCTCAAAGTTTGCATTGTTGTTTCCTGTATTTCACGGGCGAGAATAACGTGTTCGACATGTACGTCTTCGAGTTAATGGTTGAAAGTCGAAAAAACAAGAAGTAGAAAGTCGAAAACACTAAGAGTTTGTCAATATTTTGTTGCATGAAGCTAAAATGTTTTAGAAGACATCAGGGGTGTGTGGAATATTTGTAGCGGGCTCAAAATAAGCCTTGGTCGGTGGTAACTGCCAATGTCAATTGGAACCAGTGGCGTCCTTATGGGGTCAGCAAAAGCCAAAATCCGACGCTTTTGACTGACGAAAGATAGGACCCTGAGCTACAAAAGACTTCTAAAGGAAGGGCGTACGCAACGATGTTTACCATTACATGTTACAAGTTAGAACGTTGTGGTTCGAAGTTATCGCCATGGAGGATTTAAAACTAAGTGAAACTGAATTGGAAACGAAACGTTGGAAGACAAAGGCGGAAAATTATGAAACGGCTTTGAGGCGGTCTGAAACGAGGATCGCGTATTTAAACAAGAAACTTGGAATTGGCCCCCAAGGAAACGATTCAGGAAACGATTTCGACGACGCAGTTGCCAAAGAGAATACCAGGTTAAAAGAAGCGTTGGAACATATCGTACCGACAGAATTGGGCGGTAAAGATGTTGTCATTGTAAGTATTTGAAATTATAAACAAAATCTACGGACGTACGATATTTGTACGCCGAAATTAGCTTATTCTTGGCGTACGCCAAGAATTTCAGACAAGTACAAATGTATGATCGCGTACACTTCCTACAGCAGAGCTGAACCGTTTATACCTCTTTCTGTTTGCCTTAAAATCCTTCAGACAATGAACAAACATTCGCCTCTAACCTCTTATCCTGAAATATTGATATATTTATAACAATCAAACATGAAATATTGATCTACAAACAACGAGTTCACTGCTCGAATCCCAGACCACCATCTTTGTTTACGTCGTTTAAATCCAGCATTTCAAACGCATTTTTATACGGGAATTTTACACAAAAACTAGTATACAAAATCGTACGTCAACATCGATTACAGTCGTGCCAATAGAAGCGTTCCGAAAAAATGTTGACCAGTTCATTTCCTAACTTCGAGGAGGGAGTTTGGAAATTTTACACTTTAACGTATTAATACCGGAGTAATCAAATTATTCCTGATGCGCCATCAATTCCTGATGCGCCATCAAAACACTCCAATATAAAAACGGAATAAAAGAACGAAAAAACCGTTAAAACACACACCATCAAATACTTGCGGTACGGTAAAGTTAAAGTACCCGGGACCATAGATTATAGATCATACCAGATGTCTCACTGTGTATTTATCCCTATGATTTTCGTGTCCGCGATTTTCGCGAGGCTAGCACGCCAGATGACGCGTGCGACACTTACTGCCAAAATGGCGCTTACTGCCAAAATGCGTGATTGCCACTGAGCTATACTATATTGGTGATTGCTCACGTTTCATGGCGTGGATTACACTTACTGCCAAAATGGCGGCCAACGCGTGCTCATAAAAAATCGCGGACACAATTTTGGCTGAGTGAGACATCTGGTATGATCTATAATCTATGCCGGGACACAGAATAAGGTACACAGAAGGCCGACTTCTTTCTTGGTTTTTCCTATGATTTTCCTCAACCTCGTTCCCAGGGTCTTTAGGAAAGACCCTGGTATCGGCTGGTCACGTGCCTCGTCCAAAATTTAGTGCCCGAGGGGGTGTGGGGAAAGTATCAAATTACAAACAGTTAAAAACGTAATTTACTTTGAATTTACAAGAGCATTCTTACATTTTACCAACAATCAAGTCAAGAAACCAAGCAAATCGTTACTCGCAGTGCTCTCTCGTGTTGTTATTCAATGCTCTCTTCACACTCGAGCGCGGTTTTATAACAGACGTTTTAATATGGGGCTTTTCTGTGGTCATCATTTCTAC